CTTTTCTTTTCTTTTCTTTTCTTTTCTTTTCTTTTCTTTTCTTTTCTTTTCTTTTCTTTTCTTTCTTAGCCAGTCTTCTAAATTGCAATTCAGAGCCAGGAGTGGTGGTGCACACCTGTAACCCCAGCACTCGGGAGACTGAAGCAGGAGGCTCATTGTGAGTTCGAGACTAGCCTCGGCTACAAAGTTAGCTGAAGACTGGCCTGAACTACACAGAGAGACCCTATCTCAAAAAGAAAAAGAAAAAAAAAATACAATTCAGGCTGCCTTGAACTCACTTCATAGCCCAGGCTCACCTCAAATTTGAAGTGATTCACCTGCCTGAGCCTCTTGAGGTCCAGGATAACAGCAAGAGGGGAAATTACTTTTTTTTTTTTTTTTTTTAATTTTTAAAAATTTATGTGTGTGTGTGTGTGTGTGTGGCCAGCTCAGCCCACCAGGAGGCGGGGCTGGCTGGCATGTGGTTCCAGGGGGATTGAACTGCGGTCCTTGTGCTTTGCTAAGCTTGTTCTAGGTAGGTGCTTTAGACCACTGAGCCATCTCACCAGCCCCGGAAATTACTTTTAAAATGTATTCAGTAGTCTTTGTTAGTAGTAACTTTTTGAAGCAATTATATGTATTCATAAACTAAAACTATTTAATGATTATTTGCTACAAAACAGTGTTTTCAACAGAAGCCTGTACTTTTGGGGGTTTGCCTTGAAGAAGCCTGATTCTTGGACTAGTATGACATCACAAGGATATGGGTTCCAGCTATCTTATTTGCTGTGGGACCTTGAAGGAATTAATCTTCTGGGACTTAGTTGTCTTGTGTGTAAAGGAGTGCAGGTAACAGAGTTTTAATAATATTATTATGAGGATTCAGTCAGTTAGTGCTTATGACGTTCTTTTGAGGCCAGCCAGTACCTGCTCAGATTGAATAACTTTTTAGCTCTCTCTTCCCTTTTCTTCTTTCTGCTTTCTTTTTCTCTTTTCCTTTTCCTTCACTTCTCTTTGGTACTGGACACTGAACCCAGGCATACTCTGTCATTGAGCTACATTCTCATTCATTTTTATCTTTTATTTTGAGATGGGGTATCCATAAATTTTGAAGGCTGGCCTCAAACTTTCAGTTGTACTGCCTTGAGTTCCAGAGTTACCAGGATTGCCTGGTGTGCCTTGCCATGTGCAGCTTCTTCCTTCTTTTGGATAAAAGGCACTGTTTTGATTCTGTGTGGCTCCCGGTGTGTCTTCCATGTCTCCACTTAACATATCTAATCTTTCCTTTTAAGGTTTTGAACTTACGGGATACTTTCATACCAATTTTAACAACTGTTTAAATGTCTTAGTCTGTTAACTCATCTGTGCATTTGAGTTGTTTTTGTCTTGCTTTTACTTCTCGTTATAGTTTGTTTTACTATTCCCTTGCTTGCCCTAGTAAGCTTTGAATGGATACCTACACATTGTGAATGTTATTGTGCTGGATGCTGGATATTTTTTGTATTCCTGTAAATGTTCTTGACCTTTGTTTTGAAATGGGCTTAAATACTTGGAAATGGTTGATTTGGAGGAGTCTTACTTTTAAGAATTTTAGGTGAGGGCTGGGGAGATGGCTCAGTGGAATAAGGGCTTCCCTGGCAAGTTCAGACAGTTCAGTCCCTGGTTCTGCCAAAAAAAAAAAAAAAAGAATTTTAGGTGAAACCAGGGAGAATTTTTCCCCCCCTTTGGCGGAACTGGGGATTGAACTCAGGCCCTTGTGTTTGCCAGGGCAGGTACTCTGCTGAGCCATCTCCCTGGCCTCCAGGGAGATATTTTGTGTAAACTAATTTTGTTCCCCCATTGAGGAAAGACTTTGAACACTGTGTCCAATATCTTGTAAATTACAGGATTTTCCACTCTAATTGGAAGAAGAGCCAACCGTGGCCTCTTATGAAGGTTAAGGATTGGATTGTTTCCTCTAGCAATACAGCCCCCCCCCCCATGCTAGGGATTAAACTCATGGCCTTGCACATATTGTGCAAAATGCTTTCTACTGAGCTACATTCCCAGTCCCCTCAAATCTTTTTGAGTGATACTTGCCTGGCTGGGTGCCTTCCTTACCACACCACCAATCAGCTCTCAGCAGAAGACCCTCTGCAGTTCTCCTGCATCAGAATGCCTGGTCTGGTCGATTATGTGGGTTTGTACCTAACACTAGTCACCTTGGCTTCTCTGCCCCAGCTAGTTTTCAACTCAGGAGCCTGCTGGGCTTTACTGTTTCCTTCCTTGTCTGGGGTAGGACTTGTGTTCAGGTGGGTATCAGGGTAGAGGCAGGGCTCCTCTTCCAGCAGAGTTTAAACTGGTAGGCACAGGCTGTAGGAAAGGATCCTGCTCCAACCTGTATGGAGGTTAGAGAGGGGTCATATTGCTAGAGTTGCTAACAGCAGGTGGAGCCAGAAACTGCCTGGAAGAGGTAGGGTTAGGTGTTCCTTGCTCAGGCTAACTACATGCCTCCTTCTCTTTCTCCCTTCTTTTGTTCCTTCCCTCACTTCCTCCCTACTCTCTCCTTCCACATTACCCTGTCTTTTTTCTTCTCCCTCTTTGTGACAGAGCATATGCTTTTTTTCAAGATAGGGTCTTGCTGTGTAGTTCAGCCTGGTCTTGAGCTCAGTATGTAGCCAGGGAAGGCCTCCAATACCCCCTGAGTCCTGGGATTATGGGCATGTGCTGGGATACCTGGTTTATGTTTTTAGTGTTTGAGACAGGGTCAGGTTGTCCAGTCAAAACTTGAATTTGCAGTTTTATTGTTTCAGTGTTCCAAGTGGCGGGATTATAGAGTATACCACCACATCCAGGGTTGTTATTTTTTCCCTGTAGCCTAGGGTTTTCACATTGAGTTACATCCCCAGCCATTTTAAATGTTTTAAAATTTTGAGACAGGGTCCTGCAAAGTTGCTAAGCTGCCCAATGTGGGTCAAAACTTATCCCCCTGCCTTAGCTTCCCATAGTGCTGGAATAACAGGTGTGTGCCACCACATTCAAATTTGTTTTGTTGTTTGAGGCAGGCTGGGCTTGAACTCCTGAATTCAAGGGAACTCCTACCTCAGCTTACCAAATAGTGAATAGCAGCAGGAAGACAGGCTGGTGTCATTGTACCTAGCCATCCCTGGATATTTTTAGTGTGATATTCTAAACATGAAGCCAGTTAGCTGAATATAGAATGGATTTCTTTAATCATTGGTATTAATCTGTAGAACAAGTGAAGATGAGTTTTATTTTTTATTTTTATTTTTATTTTTTAAAAATGTATTTGGTACAGGGTGTGCAGGGTGTACAGGGTGTCACTACATAGATCGAAGATCGGACTCATGATTCTCCTGTTTTCAGCCTCTCAAGCGCTGAGATTACAGGAGCAAGCCACCACACCCAGTCTCAGTCACCCTCTCAGCATGCCGGGTGTGTGGGGGGGGGCAGGCCAGCACAGCACGTCTGGGATTGAACCTGGGCCACTGCACTCTGCCTAAGCAGGCGCTTTAGTCTGCCGAGCTATCTGGCTGGCCCTTTCGAGTTTTATTTTCATCGTAGTTCATCTGATACTTTAAATAGTAACTAAAGATACTGATTTTTGTTTTTCTTGTCTTTTTACCTGCATTTTTAAAAAAGTCAGTTAAAATTTTGAGATAGTGTCCTGCAAAGTTGCTAAACTTCCCAATGTGGACTAAAACTTGTCATCCCCCTGCCTTAGCTTCCCAGAGTGCTGAAATAACAGGTGTGTGCCACCATATTCAAATTTGTTTTGTTGTGTGATAAGTATTTGTTGTTTGATATTTATTTATTTATTTATTTGGTACAGGGTCTCACGATGCAGCTTGGACTTGTAGTGATCCACTTGTCTCAGCCTCCCCAGTGTTGGGATTACAGGCGTGTGCCACCACGCTTGGTTTTGGTGGCTGGCACAGCCTAGCTTGGGGGCCACCATAGCATGTGATACCAGGGATCAAACCCAGGTTCTTGCACTTGTGAGTCAGATGCTTAGATCCCTATCTCCCCAGCCACTTACCTAAATTTTTTAAGTTAACTTTGTAAAAGAAAAGGCAGGATCCGCCAAATAGTTCAACAGATTAAAATGCCTGCAAGCAGGCGCAGGGGCCAGGGGTTCAATCCTGGGCCTGCTGTGCTGGCCCCATCCCCAGGACATGCTGAGACAGCAATTGAGCCTGGGCATGGTGGCTCACGCCTGTAATCCCAGCTCTTAGGAGGCTGTAAACAGGAGACTCACTACGAGTCCAATCTAGTAGTGAGACCCTGAACACCCTTTAGACCCTTCCCTAAAATACAAAATAAATAAATAAATAATAAAAGAAAAGGCAAGCCCTTTATAGGAGGGAGGGTTGAAACAGGGTCTTGCTATGTAGCCCAGGCTGGTGTTGAACTGGTGATCTTGCTTCATCCTCCTTAGGTGCTGAGATTACAAGCATGTACAACCACACCTGACAATTTTCTTGCTTTAAAATAACAACAAAACTTTGTAAAAGAAGAAATTAAGTTTTTTTTTCCTTTTATATTTCAGGTAATGAGATTAAAAATCTTCCATTGAATGAAAGAAGAATTCTTAAAGTTGGATATATTCCAAGAAAAAAACCCAAATGTTTTTCTATTTTGCCTGAATACAAAATTTAAACGAGAAGTTTCTACAGAAGGTAAGATAATTTTCCTTTGCAATTAGATCCTACTGTGTTGTGTAATTCACACAAACATATTGTACAGATGGAAGTTCAAAGGATAGACAATAATAAAACATTTAGTTTTGAAGGTGTGAGTGCGGTCTCCATTCTTTCTCCCCTGTTGTTTCCCTTCTTGTTTTTTCCCTCCCTTCCTCTCTTTCTCTGTCCCTCTCTCCTTCCATCTCTTCTTTCCTTCTTTTCTACCTTCTTATTTCTTTTATTTGATTCTCTTGTGACTAACTTTGAGATGATCTTTGTGTCTCTGGGTCAGTCGCTTACTCTCTCCAAACCAAAGTATAATCAAAATGGAGACAGTCAGAGATGGGGACAAGTCAGACAAAAATGGGGACCGTCAGAGATACAGCTCAATGGGAGAGCATTTGCCTAGCATATGTGAGGTGCTGAGTTCAATTCTCAGCACTGGGAAAAAAAAAAAAGGCAGGATAGTCATGCAGATGCAGTAAGATATATGTTCTAGGTCAATTTTAGGGAACATATTAAATAAGACATATACTTTTCCTGGCTGCCAGTTAGGGTATACCCTCCAAGTATAGGGTGAAAGGGAGGGTTGGACTTCTGCTTCTTATGTACTGAATATTCTTGCTTTTTTCTCTTTTTGAGACAGGCTCTTGGTCTGGGGAGATGGCTTAGTGGAATAAGTGCTTCCCTGACAAGCGCAAGGGCCTGAGTTCAATCTTTGGTTCTGCAAAAACAAAAACAAAAACAAAAAAAACCAGAGAGAGAGAGAGAGAGAGAGAGAGAGAGAGAGAGAGAGAGAGAGAGAGAAAGAAAGGAAAAAGACAGAGTCTCTCCATGCAGCTCAGGCTGGCTTTGAGCTCACTTTGTAGCCCAGGCTGGTCTCAAACTTACAATGATCCTCTTGCCTCAGCTTCCCAAGTGCTGGGGTTACAGGTGTGCACCACCATGCCAGCCCTAGTAGTAGGTATTCTTAAAAGGCTCCCTCATTACAATACAGTTAGGTGTTAGATAAATTATAATTTCTTGTGAGCATTTTTGGGCATTAAAAATTAAGATAATGTTTCAAAAAGCAAAAGAGAAAGAAACAAGAACAGTGAGCATTATGATCTCTCTCTCTTTTGCTTCTTGCTGGAAAAAAAAAATATTTTCAGAGGAAAATGTGCTCAGTGTAGGCCTCCAGGATTTCTGAAGATTAAATTTAAGCTAACTTGAGTTTATACCCAGAATACATGCATACATGCATTTTGATAGGAAGAGTCAGCATAATTAGATGTACCAAGACCTGCTGTTATTGAAATAATCAGTGAAGTATTGTACTTAGTAATCATGTATGAAATAGTTGAAGAAATGCAAAATAGGATAAGCAATAATAACAAAGTATCCAAATGACCCGGTCATAGCTAGTCATGGTGGATTATCCCTCTAATACCAGCTACTTAGGAGGCTGAGGTAGTAGAGCCATGAGTTGGAGGGCAGCCTGGGAAGTATGGGAAGACCCCATCTCACCAGAGCAAACAATCAATGAAAACAAAGCAAAAAAACTTTTAAGAGAAAAAAAAGTTGAAATTTATAACTCAGTATATGAAGTAAACAGATTAAACACAGATGCAGACTAGTGAACTGGACCATATAACTGAAAAAATTATTTAGATTATAGCACAGAGATGGGAGATGGAAAATTAAGATTGAAAATACAGGTTAGAATAAAAAAGTATTGTGAAGTTGTAGTCAGAATTCCAGGATTTAAAAATAGAGGGCATAGATGAGAGGCATTATTCAAAGGGTTTTTTGTTTTTTTGAGAC